TGATCAGCTCTAGTATGTGCAGAACAATGCAGAACGTCAACTTAGATTATTTTTTTTTCCCTTTATTGTTTATATGTTGCAATTTTTTGTTCCAGTTTTCTTATAGACCACTGTAGGCTACATGTCTGGTTTAGGATTAAGCATGCTATTGTGATTTGCATGTGTGCAGAAAATCTAACTCTGAATTTTGCATTTTTATTGAAAAGATGGAGAAAAAATCATTATGTTTTTCTCCTCTGGGAAATAAGCTGCAGCATTTGAATAGTGCGTAGAATTACATCTAAGATTGCAAGTGTATGTGTGGGAGGAATGGCATAGCTATGCTTCAGAAAAATGACTTCATTTGAGAGTATTTTGTGTTGCTTTTTTAATATTTGAACTACCACGTTGCTATTTGCTTTTGACTGAGGGTATCAGCTAGAGAAACGAAGATTTTTAGCAGTTGATCATAATGCGCATTTAACTGTCTAGCTTCTCAGTTTCTGTGCTGTTTTAACTCCCTTGTGTGGTTGCACTGGCCGATACATTTTTGTGTTGTAAACAGAAATATATCTGCTGATAGTGTGTATGGCTTTATGCCAAAATAAAGGGTATTTACTCCTTTTATTTAATGCAGGAAGACAAGTAGTCTTTTGCTTTTCACTCATAGAATTTTGAAGCTTCTTTAGACGGTGTTATGGAGAAGTCTTACTGGTTTTGTCTTAAATAATCTATTAATGCTGTCTGATGTTTGGGAGGAAAAATATTTTGAGATTGAAAACTATAGATTTTCTAAAAATAATATAAGCAGGGATGTGAAAAGAAGGATTAAGTGACTTAAACCCCCACATTTTAAAAATATTCTGAAATAATAATATTACTGTTGACCACTTTGTTACCATTCTAGAGTTTTGTGGCTGACTTCTCATTTTAATATATTTTTACGGAATAGCCACTTTTAGGGAGATGTGAAAATTGAAACCCTAAAACGTGTTTTCTAAATGCAGGGGTTTTTTTTTAATGTATTTTGGTGATTACTTCCACCTGATTTTTTTAAGAGGTTTAAAATTTGAAGGGCAGTAGCCTATATGTGATTTTTTTTTTCTTTTTTTTTTTTTTGGCATGTGTCTTGTTTCTGTTTAATCAGAATTAAAAGTATTGTCACAAAAAAATCAGTGCAGTCTCTATGTAAAAGTGACTTGATCACAGAATCACAGGCTAGTTGAGGCTGGAAGGGACCTCTGGAGGTCATGTGGTCCCCCCACTCAGCAGAGCCACCTAGAACCAGTTGTCCAGGACTCTCACTGATGCTGGTTTTGGGGTTCTGTGTATTTTTTTAATTTGTTTTGATCCTTAAAAGGAACACTGGAAGTGTTCCTCTGGATTTAGTGCATTTACTCTCTACCATTTGTCTCTGCTTACCTTCACTTGCCAGCTTTTCCTTTTTACTTCTTTGAGGGTGGTGGAAGAGGCCTTTTAAAGCTGTCCTATGCAAAAGTTAATTTCTCTCCTTTTATTTGAAGAGTACCTATAATGTAATTATAGAATCACAGAATGGTTTGGGTTGGAAGGGACCTTAAAGATCCTCTAGTTCCAAATCCCCTGCCATGGGCAGGGACAGCTTCCACCAGACCAGGCTGTTCCAAGCCCCATCCAGCCTGGCCTTGAACACTGCCAGGGAGGGGGCAGCCACAGCTTCTCTGGGCAGCCTGTGCCAGTGCCTCATCACCCTCACGGTGAAGAACTTCTTCCTTACACCTAACCTAAATCTCCCCTCTTTCAGTTTAAAGCCATTACCCCTCATCCCATCACTACCCTCCCTGATCAAGAGTCCCTCCCCACCTTTCCTGCAGGCCCCCTTTAAGCACTGGAAGGCCGCTCTAAGGTCTCCCCGGAGCCTTCTCTTCTCCAGGCTGAACAACCCCAACTCTCTCAGCCTGTCCTCACAGGGGAGGTGCTCCAGCCCCCTGGACATCTCTGTGGACCTCCTCTGGACCCGCTTGAGCAGGTCCATGCCTGTCTTATGCCAGGGACCCCAGGGCTGGACACAGCACTCCAGTCTTTCTCAAGTTAAGTGGAAAGACCCTAGTATGTGTTTAGAGCTCACTGGTATGGTTTTTCTGTGTTCACATACACAGTAATGTATGTACTGCTTTGAAGAAATTCCTCCTGTGAGATTGCCGCCTGCATGAACCTGTGTGATGGGAGATCTCATTATTTTCAGATTGATATGTGTTACTTCAATCACCTGGGGAACATTGCTTCATTTCTGACTTTTTTTTTTTCCCCATGTATTGTGTGTTATTCTGTTCTCATCTCACATTTGCCAATTCCAACTGTCCTGTCCCGGTTTTTCCATTGATCTTGGAATTGAAACTGAGCCATGTGTCTTAGTTGGTCTCTGAAAGAAATGTAACTTACACAGTTGTAGTGCCTGAGAATCCTAGTACCTTTGGACCTCTTGGACAATTTAAAACAAAACTGAGAAATAATTGTTTCAAGTTGCTGTATATTTTATGAAAATGGGTGGCCCATTTAAAGGCAAGTGACCATTAAATCTCTTAAATAGGAAAGACTTAAGTATGAGCTCAGCTATTATTAAACATCAAAGAACTGGGGGTGGGAGGGGAGGAGGTACAAGTGCTCTAGTGAGAGAAGAAAAAAAGCTACTATTAGTGGTTAGCTTTTTATTTTATATCAGAAATCCAATTAGAAAGCAAAATCCTATAAAGTCAGGCTTTATGCTTCCACTTCAGTTTGTATCTTCTTTTTGAGATGGTAAGAGTAAAGTAATTCTCTCCTTGTCTGCTCTTGTGTAAGAATTGGCAACAACTAAGAAGGTTTGATGGTAGTTTTTCTTTTTGGTAGATATGTGCTGTGTTCAGGAATAAGGGACTCACAATATGAAGCTCCAGAGCAGTTTGCATTTTCTTTCTGTCTTCAGTGACATTGAGGGGAGTGTGCTATCATGGATACTGGTGAGAAAGCAACTGGATTGCCAGCTTTGTTCTCTTGCTGCCACTCTTACTTACAGGAATTTGAATTTTGTCATAAGGCCTTAATTGTCATGAACACTCCTGGCATTGACTCTATTGTGCACAGAACCTGTCAGCAGGCTTCAACAGTGTGGGAGCGGTGCTAATTCCACGAGGTGTGGCTACAAACACTCACTCACCATTTTAGTTTTGCATAGACAAAAGAGTATTTCCAGTTTTGTTTTCTAGGATATGTGCTGATGAATTAAGGAGGGGAGATGATTATCCGTTGATGGAGTCTAATAAAATACATTCCAGTTACAATGGCAGCAGTCAGGATGTGGTGCTTGAGAAGTGGGAGTAATGTGATAACTGCTTTCTGAAGTTGTGAAACCTGGGCCAACCTAGAGTCACTTCTGGGTCCATATACAGCTGTAAAAGCTCTAAAACGTTGAAAATCAGTTTTTTTAATGTGGTGGTGTAGCTTAGCTTTTCGTGTAGGTTACCAGTACCAAAACATTAACAACTTTAATTGTTAGAGGAATTTCAGGGTTAAATACACAAATAACTGAGTGAACGTTGCAGTGTAATTTAAGGTGGAATAAAGTGAAACAAAAATAGCTGAACCAATTCTGGTAGCTGATTAATGCCAAAAGAGGGAGAAGTCGCTCTTTTTTTCCCTGTTCCTGCTCACGTGTGATGTCCTGCCCTCTGCATCAGGCTGGTTCTCGTGCCATAAGCCCTGCAGTGTCAAGTCGGAAGTCAGCTCACTAGAAGCAGAAAGTTCTCTGGTTTTGAGGTTTTGTGTGTGCTGGAGGGTGGTTGTGTTTGCGTCATTGTTGTCAGTTGTCCATCCCCTGTCGTGTTCCCCCCCCTGCCCTTGATTTAGTTTTCTGTCAGGTTTATGAGTTGAATTGGCTTTCTAGAGTAGCCCGATGAGCCCCAGAAATGTATCAAAGTAGGCAGCAGGAGCTGAGGGCCCACAGTCAGGACACAGAGGGAGAATAGAGTGCACTGTTGCCCTTTGACTAGTGATAAATTGTTAGACTGGTTCGAGCTGCCTTGTGCAACTTCACCCTAACTGAACCCAAGGTAGCTGAGCAAGCTTTTGAGAAATTCCTGGGTTTTGAATAGGTTTTTGATACAGATTTTTATTCAATATTTATCTTCCTTACTTGAACATGGTAGGGTCCTGCTAGTCTTTAATTTCTTTTTGATTTATTCAAAGCTTGACTATAGCTTGCACGTAAGTAACACTGCATCTGCAAATGTTCAAGTGCTTAATAAGCAATTAAGCTTTGCTAAACCCTGTGTACAGAATATTAATAATATTGGGACCTAATCTTGTCAGTGCTTGCTATTGCCTTAGTATTTTGTACTTTGTAAGTCTCATCACCTAATTAATCCCTGTAGTAAGAAGCAGAAAAGGCCAGAAAGAGATTATGTTGTTACAGAAACACACTAACTTAAATAGTATCTCTGAAAATGTTTGGTTTCCTAGAAATAACTTTTGAGTAAATTGACATATCTTTTTAAAAAGACTAAATTTTATTTAGGTTGTACCTTGTACAGATCTACTAGAGCTTGTTTCTGAAGTCAAGGAAGTCTGGCTTCTTTTCTGCAGCCTTTGATATTCAAGAGTGGGTGTTTCGTTGCTCCTCTGAGATAAATTCTTTAGAAAGATTAGGGGGGAGAGGCAGAAAACTATGACAACCTTTTTAGCATTGTGCATTCACTATCTGACCACTGAGCAGCCTGGAGTGAGGAATCACTTCGGCAGTTTTGAATAGTTATTCTTGTTCATTACCCTTTCTTTAAAGTGAGACTATTCCGGGGGGAGAAGTATTTAAAGTTTGTGGTTTAAGTTGTTTCTTAAGTTGTTTTTTCAGCTGAAGAGAGAACGAAAAGGATGGTGGAGACTTTTAAGTCTTAATAAAAGCAATCTCAGTTAGGATTTATCTGGTCAGGAAGGGCTTGTGATATGTTATTAGAAATAACAATTTATTTTTATTTTTATTTATTTATTTTTTCTTCCCCCCAGGTGATTCATGGCAGGGGACGTGGAAGGGTTTAGCTCCTCCATCCATGACACCAGTGTCTCTGCTGGATTCAGAGCACTGTATGAGGAGGGATTGCTTCTTGATGTCACACTTGTCATTGAAGACCACCAATTTCAGGCCCATAAAGCACTGCTTGCCACCCAGAGTGATTACTTCAGGATTATGTTCACAGCTGATATGCGAGAACGAGATCAGGACAAAATACATTTGAAAGGTCTGACAGCTACAGGCTTCAGTCATGTCCTCCAATTCATGTACTATGGAACTATTGAACTGAGTATGAACACTGTTCATGAAATCCTTCAGGCTGCCATGTATGTCCAGCTTATAGAGGTGGTAAAATTTTGCTGCTCTTTTCTCTTGGCTAAAATCTGCTTAGAAAACTGTGCAGAAATAATGAGACTTCTGGATGATTTTGGTGTAAACATCGAAGGAGTCAGGGAAAAATTGGACTCCTTTCTGCTAGAGAATTTTGTGCCACTCATGTCCAGACCTGACTTCCTTTCATATCTGAGCTTTGAGAAGCTCATGTCGTACTTGGATAATGATCATCTGAGCAGGTTTCCAGAGATAGAGCTGTATGAAGCTGTTCAGGCCTGGCTGCGCCATGATAGAAGACGCTGGAGGCATACGGACACCATCATTCAGAACATCAGGTTTTGTTTGATGACACCATCCAGTGTTTTTGAGAAGGTTGGTGCATTTGAAAAGCAATAGACAGGATTCATCATTTAGCTAGGGCAGCATGCCATTGAATAGGTAAGATTCCCAAACCTGTTAGGAGGAACAAAAAGATAGTATTTATTTTTCCAATAAACTCCTAGAAGGAAAACATCTAAAAGTATTGTCATCTGATTATTAGTTAATAGCATGTACAGTGGCTGGAGAACAGGTAGGTTTGCAATACGTGTTTTTAAGTGACTTTGTATGGAAAGGACATTTTAAAACTCGATACCAGTGACCGTATTTTATTTCAGTCATTCTTCCTGTTTTCCACAGGTTGCTTCTTGCTTTGCAGAGGTTTTAGAGCTGCATACAGTATGTCATGGTAATTGTTATCAATATTATCAAAACATACTGACTGTAGATTTTACGTGGTTTAAGTACAGATTTTTTTATTTACAAATGAAAACTGGCATCTGCTGTTAAATCTGCAGGATGGTGGTGGTGTTGAATCTTCAGTGCTTGTGCTGTTACACAGCAGTTGGAAGTAAGCCCTGATCCTGCAAAGTTACATGTCCATTTGATTCTACACAAGGCACATAATGCAATCGAAAGTTATTGACGGTGTGAAATGTAATGATTTACTTTAAATATCAGAGGAATCTTTGTAACAGGTGATCTAAAATTCAACTGATTATTGTATGTATTAAGAGGTTAAAAGAGAACTTGCATTTTTCCTACTGTTTTGTTGAGGAATAGACAAAAAAAAAATGTTTTCTAGTTCCTGAGAACCTCTCGAGTGTTTGTCAATGGTAGCGAATTACAAAACTTTGTAAGCAGCCATCTCACAGGCTAGTAACAGTAAGGGTGTTCAGGTTAGAAATCACTTAAACTGTGCTTTTTTTTTTATTAACAATGTTAGTCCTGTGTGATGAGATACAACTTTAACTTGGTTTTCACTTTTCAGTGAATTAACAGGAGTTAAGACCTTTGTTGGGCTGTTTACAAATGAATTTTCCATATAGTTTTTACTTTGGTATCTAGGGAATATACAGATAAGGTTGTATTGTTCTTGGTGGTTTTAAGGGCTACTGGATCATTTAAGCAGTAATGCTTATGCTTATTTGTATTTTAAATTATAAAAGCTATTAATTACTTCAGAGACTAGTGAGTTTTTATATTTTGGATTTTGTGTGTGTGTGAATTGAGTAGAGGAAGTAATAATACATCAAGTATATTTATGGTCCTATGTTAGCCTATAGACACAAACAAAATAAATACATAAACGTATTTTAGAACAGTAATGCAATGTTTATATTGGGTTAAAACATTTCCAACTAGTAAGAGCTGAACTCTGCAAGATATTATGTAGTGTCTTGTTTTTAATAATGCTTTTACCTTATTATTCCATCGTTTAAACCTTTCAGTAGGAAACCTGATAGGATTCACAGACTATTCTTAAGGTCAATCTAATAGGGTAGAATTTGTCTGTCTGAAAGAGTCTGCTTCAGCTCTTTGAGTTTTTGGGATAACTGCTGTCTGCAGTTAAATTTCTGAAAGCACAAGTGAAAAGTATATGTTGGTCTTCAGCATTATATTTAGGTATAGCTTCTGGAGCTGGTGTTGGTATCAATGGTATAAATCCTGCATACAGTGCTTCTCGTGTTTTGTCTTGGCAGCTACCAAATGGCCAGATAGGTACAACTTAAGGAGAGAAGTAATTTTCAGCGCCCCATTTTATATGCCCACATGTAAAAGCTTTATCTGTGAATACCTTTTGCCAGTGCAGGTTCTGGAGTGGAACGGCTCAGCAGAGGGAAGCACAGCTAAAGAAGTATGTCATTTATTGCTGCAGCTAGGAATGTGTTTGTGTTTTGCCTTGGCTAGAGAGCATTGAGTGATCCAGCATGGCAAGTGACAAAGGACAACTGCAGTTGGAGCTAAACAAAATATAGGCTACGCTTGCTTTTTTTTTTTTTAATAAAAAGACATGTTTGTTAACTGTTCTGGAAGTAACCAGAGATTTGTCTTCCGTGTGTGCAAGGGGGAATCTACTGGTAAAACTGTTTGGTTTGGGTTGTTTTTTTTTTTTTTGGAGATCCACAAACAGAATTCATCCTTTTAGTGAAGCCAGCACATACTCCATGTCTGCGTGAATGTACCAAATACAATCCGAGGTTGACTCTTACGGTTCAGCGAACTCTGTATTCGCTATACGCTGGCTGGCTTGTCCTGTGTACTCTTATGTAATCTTTGTGTGTAGAAATGCAATGCACGTTTCTGAGATGCCTGTCATTGTAGTATATAAATAACTTACATAACTTAACTTTGCAACTCACAGTAAGGATACTTTTGACCTCTTAAGCCACTCTATTTCTTACATCATTTTTTGGAAGAGATTTACAATCTGAGTGGGATGGCTTGTCCTTTAAAAAATGAAATGATGAGCGACTCAAGATTTACACTTTGAGGCTGACGTGCATTTGGAGTGCGCAAAAGTGGAGGTGCAGCCTGTTTGCTTACTCTATACTGTCCTGGAAAAACTGCTCCTGAAGTATGAATAGATACTCCTTCTGTTCCTCAGCCCTTAAAATACGTGTAGATGTATGAGGGAAAATGGAAAGATAAACGAAGTAAGGATTTGGGGAATAGTTAGAAAATACAGGCAAAGTGTATGGGGAGAAGGATGAGTTCTATCCATATTGCACTTTCCTTTGCTTGAAACATATCCATGACTCTGAGAAAGGTTGGAGGTAAAAGTTAGGGGGCATTTCTTCTAGATCGTTAAGTTCATCTCTGTTATTGGAAGTGACCCCATCTTGTCGTGATTTTCACTTCATATACTTCATATACATGTTTAAGCTCCCTTTAGTTTTGGTGTACTACTCTGATTGAAATATTGTTTCTGTCCCTAAAATCAAAAGGTTTTTTTGGATGTCCAGTCTGTAGGGTTTGTTATGACTAGCCCATACTGATTTATGAATTCCCAGCTTAAATCAGGAGCTTCATAATCACTAGGTGCATCAGCTTCTGCTTTAGAGGTGGGATGAATATCACACTGAGTATGTGCTTTCCTGTGTCTAGAAAGTAGTAGCTTTTGAGAAGATGTCATTGTAATTTTCTGTCATTATGACTTTACCTTTGATAAATGTGTTTAATTTTTTTTCCCCCTATTTTCCCTCCGTGTCTGGTAATTCATGTGTGTCTACTTCTACAGCTTCATGTGGTGAAGTTTAGAATTAAGTGTCTAGTGTATGAGGTTAGTGGATGTGGTTAGTGGCCCCTCTTACCTTAAATAGCTGCTGCACTTGATGTTGTTATGTCTAAAGGTTATTACTGACTTGAACATATTTGCTAGCAGTATTTGTTACATGCTGAGCATCTCAATTTTAGCACATGGGTTGTTGGCTCCACTCTGATTTGAGATACTAGATTTGAGTTAGATTCCAGCTTGATTGTGATAATTTCTCTTGCTAGTTTCTAAACAGGAACGGCAAAATACTCAATTTGAGGGCATTGTGCTTGCTGCACAGAGGCTATGTTGACTTCTCTTTCTATGGTTAGGCTGAAAAACAGCAAGTGATTTGTAGTGCTTGCAGAATAGCCCTTTGAAGCCCTTACTGGTACTGACCAGGTTTCGTACTGGCCATGGGGTGTAACTAAGTAATGACCCATGCTAGAAAAAGGGAAAGGAAGTACAGCAGCTTGTCCGATGCTATGTATACTGATGTTTGGTTGCAAAGTGAATTTGGTTGCTGCTGTTTTAGAGACATATATGTGACTTTTTCTATTTGACTGAATTTTGATTTGGAATAAGTGTTTGGTAATGTTTATTGACAGGCTTGTAGTTGTGCTTAGAATATGGCCAGAGATAAGTAGATGTGAAAATAATAAGGATCCTAGTTAGTAGGATTGACAGATCTTTAGTTTTGATTCAGCTTAATCTCTAGTAAAATACCATTTTTTGGAGGTCAAAGGAAGAATTTGCTCTCTAGAAGTCAAACACAGGTGCCATCATGCATTGAAAAGGTATAGTGTAGATTCTGTATTCCTACTAGTTGACTTACCCATTCAGAATTGGCAGTTTTAGAAAACTTAAGTAAGCACAATTATATAACCTTTGGAATAGTTCTGTGTTTATGTGGCTAGAGGTGATAGAGTCACATTATGAGCCATCCAGATTTTTCTGGGTTTTTTACCAGTTCTGCAGAAGGAACGAAGCTGGGATCTACCCCATATAATAACATGTTAAGATTTAGTTACCAGGTGTACAAATAATACATGTTTAGCTTGGGCACTTCAAAAGTAGCCTTTCTTTCTGGTTTTGAAAGCTTTTTCCTAGAAGCTGAAGTAACAAAAATAAAAACAGAGTGCTATCTGGAAATGATTGTATGAAAAAAAAAAAAAAGGCAAGCTATTTACTGAAGGCAAACTTGTGATAGAGAACATTGGCCTTGCATTTCACTGCTCTTCCTGCAGCTTATTAATTTGCTTAATTGTTTTAAGGGGGCGGGGGGGGATGATGAATATAGCGTGGGATACACCTGGTCTTTTGTGGGAATGACTTTTCAAATTAGAAACTAATGACTTTACTTTTTCATAGAATATAGATGGAAAATTCTGAAAGTTGCGTAGCTGCTGCAACCAGAAAGGCATGCATTGCAATACAGCAGAAAAATAAGCAATGATTAATAGCTGCGTTAATTTGGGAAGCCAGCAGTTTTTACTGAGTGTTTCACTGATTCAAAATGAAGAAGAGAAAATGTGTTCAAGCTCCAGTTTACTATGGCTGGAGGGATGGTGGTGATTTTGGTGAAGCCTTGGTGGTTTTGGTGTTGACTACGCAGGGAGTGAGTAGAGAGGTGGATATTTTAAATTATTTTCTTAATCTTTTTTTATGGAATGACACATTTGGTTTTGTTTATGCTGTTCCCTGTCTGTGTAGTTAAAAGTCCAATTGTGAACTGCTGTAACTGGTAGGTGATACAATGAGACCGTTCTCATGAGAGAGCTATTTGGGGAGCTCTTACATTAGCACTATGTCCCAGCAGATCCTCTGTAAGAAGGTTTTGTCCAGAAAACTGAAGAGCAGTATTGGAAAGATTGTAAAAAGAAATCACATGAGCAAAGCTTTAGCACTTGGATTAAATTCCTTTTTTAAAATAAGTTGGTAAGGAAGTTAAACTTAAGATAACAGAACAGTCTTTTCTTTAAACTGAAAATGCTGTGAAGCATTTGTATTTTTTATCAATTCAGAGTTGATGATGTATTCTTAAGAATGCACATTTGTTTTACTTCAGGGTTCCTCACAGTTAGTGTACATTTCCATCTGTTTTGCATGTTCTGCAGAAACTTGTGAGCATTCTCTCTCATTGAGTATGTGGTAAATAGGTGCATGTTCCTTCTAGAGCTTCTTCATTTGAACTTAACAGGAAAATCGGTCTGTTGGTAAGCACCTAGATATTTGTTGGTTAACTACTTGTTGCTACTTATGGGTAATGGCAAAAGCCTACTTTTGAATGCTGAGGGATTTCCTTCAGCGTATTTTGGGTGTCAGCAGTTCCCAGAAAACGCTTGCTGAGGGCCATGTTCTTTAATCTCCTAAAACTGAAACATATGCACAACTTACAGTTGTGTTTTAATATCTGAACATCTGAATTTTAATGCTTCTCTTTTTTGATTATACACACAAGTAATTAAGAGTATTGTAAAATTATTCAGAAGTGTAGGTGTTTGGAGACTGTGGGCAGAGTAGGACATTAAAATAATTCTGGAAGATTTCACGCAGACGGTGTGTGAATGTGAAGGTGGGCATACTGACCTACATTTGCTTTGTCTTCATTTGCATCAAGCACGCACGAGTGGTCTGTACTTTCATATAGGCGTATCCTAACATTCATCTTCCACCGTCATTTGAGCCTCAGGGGAGGTACTGTTCCTGTATGGCAGAGGTTGTGCTGCTGAAAGGTGGAAGGCTAGAGACGCTGCTGTTTTCTCAACAGGAAAGTCTAGGAAGCCTCCAACTACCTTTTCTTACCAGAATTTGTAGTCTAACACGCTGTTTTCTTTTGTGTTTGTTTTGGTGTTTTTTGTTTTTGTTTTTGTTTTTGTTTTTTGTGAATATTGTAAGAATTCCTCTTTCTTACATTTTCATATTCATCTCTTCAAGATTGTGCTTGTAGGTAGCTTCCTCATGAACTTCAGTCTGAAAGAGTTGTTCATAACTGGTAGTTGCATTTGCTTCTTGATGCCTTTGTGGTTTAAGGTACGAGATTGAGGCTTTGCTTTGATGTTAGTGCCTTTGTCAAGATAAGTAGTAGTGAACTACTGATAGATTGATTCCCTGGTCTTGAGATTCTGTCTCTGGAATTAGGTATTCCTTGTTTCCTTTTGCAAGCTCTCATGGGGTGAGATTTAGGGTATGTGAAGGAGTAGAGTGGTGAGGATAGATGAGACTTATTTTAATTCCAGTTTCTGGCTGGCATTTCAGTTTCTAGATATAAAGACAGAGTTGTAAATGTTGAGGGGGAAAGAAAACATTTTCCATCTGTGCCAGGCTTTGCTGACACGCTTCACGTTGTAGGCATGTTGATCCTGTTGTCTTCCATAGTCATCCAAGAAAACTTGAAATGCATATAGGTGAAACAAAAACCGTTTATCTTTTTGTTTAATTCCAAAAATGATAGCTCCCGTTTAGGGATGGGTGAAATAGTCATGCTGTTTAGAATTTGAAAGTTACTTTTAAGGATGAAGTAACCCATTCTTGATTATTTGTTACTTTAACTTGCTGTTTCATTTTTTGTAACCTTTAAGGCTTTCTATATTTTACCATTTTTCTGTGCTGCTGTTCTCCCTGCCACCCCTCCACCAGCATGTTTTCTGGAATTTATGTTCAGTCTTTTCAGTCAGTCAAGCTATATGGTTTATTCTAACAAATGCCATATGAGCAGATCTCCTGTGTTTGTATGATATATTCTTTATTTGCAATAACAAAATACATCGTTATTCCCCAGAAGAGTTTGGCTTATCCTCTTTTTCCAAGCAAAGATAAGTTGGACTTGTCAAAATAAAGTGGAGGAAAGAAGAAGTGTAAATGAAACGTCAAATCACTGTAACTCTTGAGCTATACAGTGGTTTACAGTGGTAGGTTATTATTCAGGGTTTTTTGAAAATCTGGTGTGTAAAACAACCTCAAAGTCTGTGTGAATCATATCCAGTAATAACAGTTCAAAAGATTTTTAAAAATACTTATCTGACAGCAGAATGTCTTCATTGCTATACAAGGAAGAGAAATTATTAATAGAAAGCTAAAAAATTTTGAATGGTACATGTTTATGGAACAAGCAACTACATATTCACAAGGTATAAAGAACATTCATTTCCAAATTCCTTTTCATACACATGAAAACTCACATCACCACCCCTTAGGTAAGTGGTGGTACAGGCTTTTGTTCATTGAGGAATAGTCGCTTCTGATGTTATCTTGTGGTCACTTTGAAATTTCAGAGTGACCAGACGTTTTTTCAGAGCATTGCTTCTCTTTTATAGAGCTGGTAGGAACTAAAGGCATTCAGAGTGTTTGAAAGCAATCCAGTTTTATGTGAAAGAAACTGGGACTTAGGATCAAATCTGATAGAAGATTTGTGGATTTGGCAATATCTAGCAGGTTTTTATTTGTTTCAGAAGTGTAATTCAGAATACTGTGTTAGACCAGACTGTACAGGAAGAGAGAAGCCTTTTTGAAGAAAATCCCATGGTGACCCAAGAGCTGCCTGGAGTTAGATTTACTAAAATGTTCAAGACGGGAATGTGTTTTGGTATTGTCTCAGGACCAGTGTCAGGAACTTAAATTGGCTTAGATAGTAGGGAGCGTCCTGAAAAGGTAAATTCTTACAATCTCCCCGCCCTCTCGTCCAGTAAAACTGAGCAGGGATAGCTCTTTTCAAATGGAGGTAGCACCAAGAAGGAGCACTTCACTACTCTGTGATAATTCAGAGGTTCTAAGTCTCACTTGGGAAGTGGAAGTTCAACCCTACCTCTGCAATTTACCCAATAAATGCGCAACCAAAAGAATTATAGGTTGAGATGTTTTCCTCTTGTGGCGTTTGTTGCCAGGTGGAGACTCACAGAGGGGAAACCATAAGGTAACCATCATGACGAGTGGTTAGTGCAATGACATGTTCTGAAGGAGGGGGTTTGGGTACCCTCCCTTCCCACCCCACCCCAGTTAAATGGCTCTGTGAGCAGAGCCTAGCGTTTGGGAATACCTGCTTGGGTTTGGTTGTGAGAATTAGACCAGGGTAGTGCTTGGTAAATACAGAATGGGTATGTAGAATGTTTTTCAAAACCAGGAAGATAGTGCATCTTTAATGTGGTCGCTTCATGGATTAAGCAGAGATGAATAAAGGCTTTTTTGGGGAGAAGGAATAATGATTTTTAGACTTGGGGATTTCAGTTGTGCCAATTCTGGCTTAAAATCTGCATGTGAGTATTCTGCTGAAAATGTTCATCGCTGCTGTTAATCACTAAATTGCCTTCTGAATTTTGGATAAAAGCACATTAGCTTAAGCCTCCATGCACAAATGCCAATGCTCTCAAGATTGCCTGAATGACACTAAGTAAGATAATCTTCTAATGACATGTAGTCATTTAGGTTTTCTGGTTTGTTTCTCTTGGTCAGAATTTTAATATCTTTTAAATGTATTCATAGGTAAAAACATCAGAGTTTTATCGATACTCCCGGCAGCTGCGACATGAGGTTGACCAAGCCATGAATTACTTTCATAGCGTTCACCAACAGCCTTTGATGGAAATGAAATCGAACAAAATTCGTTCTGCCAAACCCCAGACTGCAGTATTTAGAGGAATGATAGGACACAGTATGGTAAACAGTAAAATTCTTCTCTTGCACAAACCAAGGGTCTGGTGGGAACTAGAGGGTCCTCAAGTACCTTTGCGACCAGACTGCCTTGCCATTGTGAATAACTTTGTGTTCCTGTTAGGTGGGGAAGAACTGGGGCCTGATGGTGAGTTTCATGCTTCATCCAAAGTGTTTAGATATGACCCAAGACAGAACACTTGGTTACGAATGGCAGACATGTCTGTTCCACGTTCTGAGTTTGCTGTTGGAGTTATTGGGAGGTATGTTTACGCAGTGGCTGGGAGAACCAGGGACGAAACCTTTTACTCAACCGAACGGTATGATATTACTGAAGATAAATGGGAATTTGTGGATCCCTATCCAGTCAATAAATACGGACACGAAGGGACCGTGCTTGGTAACAAGTTGTATATCACTGGTGGAATTACATCATCTTCAACTTCTAAGCAAGTGTGTGTGTTTGATCCCAGTAAAGAAGGGACAGTAGAGCAGCGAACAAGGAGAACTCAAGTGGTCACTAACTGTTGGGAGAACAAATGCAAAATGAATTACGCAAGATGCTTTCACAAAATGATTTCTTACAATGGTAAGCTTTATGTCTTTGGTGGTGTCTGTGTGATCCTGAGGGCCTCCTTTGAATCTCAAGGATGTCCTTCTACAGAGGTTTATGACCCAGATACTGATCAATGGACTATATTGGCTTCTATGCCAATTGGTAGGAGTGGTCACGGTGTAGCTGTTCTGGACAAACAGATAATGGTTCTTGGAGGCCTTTGTTACAATGGTCATTACAGTGATTCAATTCTCACCTTTGATCCAGAGGAAAACAAATGGAAAGAAGATGAATATCCGAGGATGCCGTGCAAGCTGGATGGCTTACAGGTCTGCAGCTTGCACTTTCCTGAATACGTTTTGGAGCATGTTAGGCGTTGCAGCTAAAACCGAATGAGCAACCCGATGAAATACAAAGAGCTATACCTAATCTGTTAAAAATACAAACTAGTTGAATTCCTTCAGAGACGTTACCTTGTGTATAAGAATGACTGCTAAATGCTGAGGAGAAACGGGATGTACAGGGAGTGTACTTACTAAGTTTATTAGAAAAGCCAACAGTTGGACTGATACTGTAAAAGTTTTGGTTTTTTTAACAAACATAATTGTAAGTAGGGGAAAGAAAAATATATTTTTGAGTGTGCTTATTTTTTTGGTAACATTGTATGTCCATAATACCTTTTTTTTTTTTTCTTTTGGTGGCCATTATACCACTGTGCTTGTGAAATCAGTTGAGTTTAACAAAATATTTGTGGAAGGAAGAGAAGAAAGACTTTATTTTCATTTTTTGTTGAGCATCAAAATAAAACTCATCATCTGTACTAGGGTACAACCAGGTATAAAATAAGAAAACTAAACAATTTCTGTATTTTATGTTGTCTTTTGTATGCTTTTCCCATTAATTGCAAAGTATTCTCAAATCTACTGGGTAGTTTTGTTTTCCCTTATATATGTTGAAGAATATTCTTTACCCCTTTGCATGGCCTGTTTCCTGGTTTTGTATAGTAGTACCAGTAAGTCTGCCAAAATGCAAATTACACATTTTCTACTAAATTGAAAACAAAACATTTTTATATTCAGAACACTATTTCTATGCTGCCTTCTATTGTCTGCATTGTGTTTGTTGGTGAGTAAAAAATATATACACACACATGCATACACTGTAAAAACTATCTATAAATACATCTTTTTATGTGCAGTTATGATATTATATTTTAACTAGTGCACAGATTCAGCCATATCTGAGTTTAAGGTATAGTACTATCCTTTAATGAGCTAAATAATTCAAAGTTCTTAAGTAACTGGAGGCCTCATTTGGTATCGAAGTATCTTATCTTTAGTTGTGTACTGATTGATTCAGTAACTTTAAACTCTTTATATCAATGCTACATAAAGAACTGTTGGCAATTTGTTATTTTATAAATTATTTTTAAAAAAGTAAACACATCTTACCTGAGTTTCTTTTATGTTTGAATGTGCTGCCCAGTTTTCTTTGTTTATGAAAATGGAAAATGTCAATAAGCAAATGCTTAGCACTGCTTCGACAGTTATTTTCAGAACTGGATATACTACAGTACTTCGCTTGTACTCATACTTCGATACAAGTACTTTGTGGGGTTTTATTATTATTATTTTAATTATCAACTGCTATGAACTACTGTGTTTTGAGAATGTGGAGTTAGGTGGTTGGATGCTTAGTACCATTTGTTTCTTTTACAAAAAAACCTACACAACTCTAGCTACGGACCTCGGAGTGCCTGAATCAAGATGTGTGGTCCAAGAGGGCTTTGAATAACTCCATTGTGCTAACTTGCAGGTATTACTGGCAGTCGATTGGTAAGAATTCTCTGCCAAGACATAAATAATAACAGTAATTACATTCTGATACTCTTTAATGCTGTGAAATTAGCCACTTCTTGAATCTAAAGGAGAGATTTGGAGAAGTTGAAGGCTCACGCTTGGTTCGGATGCATAAGGACAAAATGCTGAAACGTGCGCCTGCATATTTTGTAAAATCTTGCGCTGCTGCGTTTCACTTCAAGCAACAGACTTGACTTTATATGCAGCAATGCAAACCCACTTCATTTAGCGTGCTTCAGTCAGAAATCACTGTAGAAAAGGAATGTACAGTACTCAGGGAGTTCAAAAGAATGCACTTACAAAAGGACCAAAATCACCCTAAATTTCCTATGTTAAAAATAACACCTACTTGCCTAAACTAAGTTTGAAACAATTGATAGAATTTAAAATGACAAGTAAAACTCCTCATACTTGGGTTTGGAGCTACATGGCAAGTTGACAGGTTGGGTTTTTTTTTTTTGTAATTAAAAAAGATTTATTGATGGAGTATTTTCTTTCCATATGTTTTAACAGAAAGAGAGAATGTATGCCATCATAGCTGTAGTGATAAGTTACTTACACCAGTAGTGACTGGACCAAATAGTGATATCCAGCCTTCTGATGCAGACTAGTTTGTGGTTAAATTTAAGTCTTTTTTTGTTTGTTTTTTTAAATCAAAATTCAGTTTACTGAATTAGAAATCTAATTTACTTTCTTGATAGCTTAACTTAAAGCCGGCATGGCTTACCTCAGTTTCACTGTGAGACTTGGGTGTACATTACCCTGCACGGGTGCAGAAATAAACTGACTCCAGTAGGTGCTGGCTGTGTGCAAGTAAAAAGGTTCTGCTGTACATAGTTCATGGAATATCGGGACATGAGAAAAAAAACAAGGGTTTTTTTTATTGTTTCCATTCTTTTTGTCACCAGCTCACTTCCCAGTAAGTTTATGGGGCAGCAAAAACTAATCCTGCTTGAGTGGGCTTTCAAGGGCATGTTACATGTCATATGGAGTACTTCAGTTTCAGCTAGGGCCGGTCGGGAATGGACGTGGTTCTGGATATCTGGTCTTCAATGATTCAGGTGTAGTAAAGAGACATGGCCAAGACTTTATTAAAAACGATGCTAAGGATGCGGGTGTCTGAAGTTACGTTTTTGAGTCTGGATTTAAGCACCTTCTCAAGTTCTGTGCGCTAAGCAACTGCCACTAAAGTGATGGGTGAGTATTGACACTTGAAACATGAAGAACCAGATGATTTTTAGGTGCTCTGTTTTTAAGTTCATACTTCTGTTCAGGTGCCCAGTTCTGGAAGATGTTGTTCAGGATTGTAATAGTGATTATTCTGTGAAATTCTAACTTGAACTGTTGGTTTCAGCTTCTCTCAAGTTGTGTGTCAGTTGAGAAGCTGGCTGTGACCTTTGAGCATTAGGAATGATTGGAATTTGCTTGTGTTTACAAAGCTGGGGGTATGTGAGAATGTTTTGTTACTTTACATTTCTGCTGTGATTTTATTGTTTCAAACATGAAATATAAATTCAGCTTACATTCTCTTTTCCATTGCAGTGGAACTTTTGAGGCAGTTATTTTTGTTACTTTATATCAGAGATATATTTTTTTTTTAATTGAAAGTTTCTGTTTGTGTTTGCTTACAGTATTTAGCCTCAGATAATTTAGTGTTTAAATAAAAACAAAACTAAACTGGCTAGTAAGTATTGCCTATTACTGTCGAATTTTGAGCATTATTATGATCAGATTAAGATGGGTTTTAAAAACATTTAAATGCCTTTCATTTGTCAAGGAAAAGGTTAAGTTACAGTCTTTAATTAGTAAGTTGGGGGGGGGGTGTTCTTCTTCTGTTCCCGCCCCAACTGTAATGGAATACCAGCAAATCTAATCTCACCCACGTATTTAAAATTTAACAATGACCTGTTTAAACAGCAAGTGTACTTGCCTTTTCTTAAAAAGGTGGACATAGTGAGTTACAGTCTAGGGGTTTATTTCACGTTTATAGCAAAAATGTATCAGCTTCATATCTTTAATTTAGCAACTAGCTCCAGGAGGAAATTTTTATTTCAAATGAGCCAGCGTGGACAAAAAGCCTAGTGCTCCTCTACAGGGGTTGGACGCTCTCGGTCCCGTTCCGCATGCTGCTATACCTGTTTTGAGGGGACAGATACTTTTTTTCAGCGTACCGCTTAATGAAAAAATAGCTCAATTTCCCCACAAAGTGTTAGTCGTAGTTTTGATGTGGGAGGTATTAGGTGGCAAAAAGCCTTTTGAAATTTTTTCCCCATCGATTCAGCTGGAGCAAGGCAGTACTTTACAAAGGCCCTGGTATTTCAGGCAGCACTGCTAGCAGGAGGGACTAGTGGCAGCATAGGAGCTACCTGGCAACCTGCTTTTATGTTGCTTGCTTTTGAGAAGTGTGGATGCCCTACTTTCTGCAGTATGATAGCAGTCCTGTTATTACTAGCTCTGAGGGTTTGTGACTTTAATATATCTCTGGTTTCTGAGATTTGCAGACATTTTTTCTTGAGGACCTCCTGCCTTACAAACCCAAGTGCTGCCTTTTTTCATGCTGATAATACAATAACTACTTGCATCAGGGATGAAGCTTCACTTGACACTCAGGAAGCAAAGGATAAAATTCAACAGGTACAAATTGAAATCGGTTTAAAAAGAAAAACACTGCTTAACTCATTATGTCCATTCTTTTGCAAAAGGAGGGTAAGCATTATGGGGAGATGCTAACGGCTCTTTAAAAATAAACTTCAAGCTTGTCTCAGCATTTATATGACAAAGTGTTTTTAGAAATAGTTGCATTTGTAGAGGCATTTTGCCTTTTTAATATATTTTTCCTTACAAAATAAAAAAGTAGTGAATTGGGCCCTTTCACATACGTGAATAGCCCAATGTAAAGAAAACAGAAAACCGTAAGGTATTTACAACATAAAAGTGCAAATGTAAGTGCTTATAGGGTTGGGGGCATCAAGGAAAACCTCTGTCCTGTTCTCCTTCCATTAGCAAAAAAATACAGCTGGTGAAGTTACTTGAGTGGGTATGGTCCATCCCATGTGGCAGGGCTCACTGAAGGAGAGTGGGAAAGAACATAACTGGAAAGCACGTGTAATCGATTTAAAACAAAGCTTGCCGGTGTCCTGTAGCTAACATTTTGAGCTTTTAATATTTGTAAAGCAATCTGGACCTGCTTAAAACGAATACTAAAGACTACTTTTGCATCTGTATTTTATTTTTGAAAGTTGGTGAGTAACTTTTAAGATTTCCATTCGTGTGGGTAAAGTTCATGAAACATAGTTGTATGTGGCAGGTGGCAGAAAAACGGACTTGTTTTGAGCACAGCTTTCCTGGATTTCCCTCTATTAATTTTTATTTTCATTTCCTCGGTTTCAATTAATGTTTATATAGTCTTTTAAAAATAACTTTCAAAGATCAATTTCAAATACCCTTGGATTAATATCAAGGTGGTAGCTAGGGGAAAACCACTTCTATTTGCAGATGGTAGTTTTTATTTATGGCTCTGGTAGAAAACCTTATTGTAAGTCTAGAAAATACAGTGT